CATGGCCAAGTTTGAACCCATGAGAAGAATCACTTTTCTGTACGGAAGAATCCAATAAAGTTATCTGGTTGGATTGGATTTGATCCCAAAATTTTCATATATATATACTATGGGAGTTTCACACGGCCATGCCAAAAATCCACACGCCCGTTTGGAAATGGCCTTTGGCCGTGTGAAGGCTCGGTAATTCCCATACGGCCAGAAGTGCAATTTCACACGGCCGTGTGAAAATCCTCGGCCAGCCAGTGTGGTTTTCTCGGCCACACACGGGCAAATGTATACTTCACACGGCCGTGTGGCTTGCCCGCGTGCCGAGCCTAAAGCCTATAAAAATGACCCACACGGCCGCGTTGGCCAGGAAAAAAAACCTGAATCACATTCGGTGATTTCATCACATTGGTACGCAATAAGTACCTCATATAGTCGATACAAAAGGGAAGTATTCAAACTTGAATTTATTGATAAACTTGATTTATAAATCAAGCAGGATACATTGTATGAGATCTATTGATCTCTTCATTTTTCATACTACCATATATGGAGCAAAGACTAGAAAATATCTAGTCATGCTTATGATCCTCGCGTTTGTGTATCAAAACGTAGAGTTCATGATTGCGATAGTGTATCTCTAGCAAGATAAGTATTGCAATGAGAAAGAAAATCATAAAGATCCATGACACCCAAATCAAGATTAGAAAGGAAGAATTTTCTTCCGCCATTGCTTCACCCGAACTCGATAAGATCCCTGAAGTGACTTATAACGAGAAGAGTTCCCAAGAAGGGAAGAAGAATGATGGAATTGAGAGATGATGGGTGATTTTCGGTTTTGAATGGAATGAATGAAGAGGAAGGAAGGTTGTGGTTTTTATAGCCATGAAAGAAGGATGTATGTTGAAAAAAAAAAAAATAATTGATGTTGTAGATTTTAGATAAAATTGTATTGATGTGGTAAGATTTTGATAAGATTGTGAAGATATGAAGAGATTGTGGTTTGAAATTTTGAAAAAGAAAATAGATAGTGTAGTGTATGTCGGCCGCCATAACACACAGAAAGTGCCAAAAAGCAGATCGAATTTACCAGGTAATCATAGTTGATATTATGCTGTATGTTCTATCTAACAGTTCTCTTTCAGTGAAATAAAAAGAATAGGGTTCGAAATCTGGCGTCAATGGAGCTCGAACCTACGACGTTCCAGGTGAGGGCTTAGAGCCGTACCACTTCAGCCGCGTCCCTTTTTGGTATCATTCTTAGATTATTTCATAATATATATTATTGTGATTTAGACAACGGATTAATTCTCGTGGTTAATTATTTTTCTTAAGAAAGAAGCAATCAAGCAAATGCAACAGTAAACTTGAAGTTTACATTACGTGATAAATTGATTGTTTGGCATGACCGGTTGGGCCATCCCGGATTAATTATGATGCAAAAGAAAATTAAGAATTTATGTGGACATTTGAAGGAATTCAACAAGATAGTTTTATCTTGTGCTGCTTGTTCTCAAAGAAAGTTGATCATGAGATCATCACCAGTGAAAGTAAGAATTTGAATATTATATACGATGAGCATATATAATGCCAAGTTGGTGAACCAATACACCATGTGGACCATTTAGGTATTTTATGAGTTTAATCGATGCATCGACTAAATGGTCACATGTATTCAGCTGCAACCTGAAGTTTGCAAGACTGATTACTCAGTTGATTCAATTATGGGCACATTTTGATGAATGTCCAATCAAGAAAATATATCTTGACAAATACTGGTGGTTACTAGAATTAATACAAAATATCTTGTAGCACATGTGTGTGCACAAAATGATCTCGATGAATCACTCACTCTGACATGTCATCTTACATGCGGCAACACTGATTTTGCATCATGCCAACAAGATGTTACTAATAAACCCCTGTATAATTGGTTCTGGTCAGGACCTAAAATATCCCATCAGAGAATTTATGAAAGTGCAATATACGATGTAAGTTGATCCACCACAATTTACAAAGATGGGTTTTGCAAAAGAAAATTGGAAACTGAAGTTGCATAAGAAGTCTCTAATTGTTTTAGTGAGACTAGAATTTTTATATGATATTTATTGACGTTGTTATATGAACAAGTCAATGTTTCCAATATCAGGGGGAGAAAAAGAAAGGGTAAGCAGTTGATTTGCAAATTGGTTGAAATGAATTATGATCCTCATACTTAGAATGTGAACATGAAGTTCAAAGATAATTCATTTGCCAAGATTGGTTAGCCTACTGCCAGGCATCGTTACTAACCCAAAAAGAAGTGACTAAGTCACGGGCAACTGCTAATGCTCCTAAGTTAATATCCTAGAGGGATATATTATACACATATGACGTGTGATAAAAATTATCGGTTCCAGAAATACAAATCCTCAAGTAAGAAGGGAGCTAAGAATAAAGATGGTCTTTATAATGAGGATATTGTAATTCTATTCTCCAAGAATTATTGGTTTGGTATAACCACAGGTACCTATTTGGGAAAATGAAAGAGCTCTCAATAAATTATATCTTGGATGAAATTTGATGGAATCAAAAGGAAGTCAACGCTGACAATGAATTCTATATATATTGTAGCGCGCAATATGATGAATGAAAAATGAGGATCGAAAAGAATATAAAACAAGATGATTGGCCAAATCATAACGACGCATTGGAGGCAGTTATGAACTCGCCTACGGAATAAAATGTCATGGGATTTATACTCCTTGTATACGAAGAAGTAATGTCAATAAAGCATACATGATGTCTTACAATGACATAACAAAGGGGAAGAAATTAAGAGATATTATGCTCGACTTATCAAAATAGTATTATATAATACTTGACATTGAGTATAAGGAGACTCACTCTCATATGGTGGATATGACTTTTGATATATAATCAATTAGTCTGGCAATATGAGGAAAAACATCTAGTGGATGTATTACAGTGCATTTATAAAAGCATGCTTAATAATGATGATATTTATATGGAACTCCCTCGAGGAGTTAGTTTGCACGAAGCAAACATGTTAAGGTTTTTAAGAACGTTATTCAAGTAAATTGAATTTCCCCTTAAACAAAGTGAAAGAGCATCGATTAATATGAGATAATGATCTGAATAATTTTGAGGCAGGCATCTGCGTACTCAGAATATCTTCCAATGATTGTTTCATATGTTGTGACAAAGAATCATTGGTTGTGGGTGTCAAACTTCTTATAAGAAGGTGTTTGTAATATGTTTTCAAGTTGAGATGAAAGGTATAAATATGGTTGAAACTCTTGAAGAGTGTTCAAAGGCAATAAGTTATTGAAATCAATAACTTAAAACGACGAGACTTTAACTTGGATTACAAAATCAAATATTGTAAGACAAAGTCCTCTGCATCAAAAGATATATAAATATGCACAAATGATAATAATGGATGAATTATCCATTGAATAGATCAAAGAGTAAGATCTATATGAAAATAATCATATGTTTGTCTATTGGTAAAGTAATTACCAAATACATGGTCGTATAGTACATGATCTTAGTATCATCGAAATATTAATATATTGCCACTTGATATATTAGTGGTACAATATAGAGTTAATCACGCAATGTGATATGATCACAAACAAGTTTGATGATGTTACCATATAAGCGGGAATAAAGTTTATACGGCTACTTGACAAAGCAACATAGAGTATCTACATCATTTGATCATGCAGATACCATAGTCACAAATACGAAAATCATGAATCAGTTTGAAAAATATTCATGATAAAATTCATCGGAGAAAATTGGTATATGTTCCGGAAAATTGATCTTGATGATCAATCATAGTATATCTCTTAATTGAAATTAGAGATGATGATGGAGATATGATATATATTGTATTCCACAAGAGTTCTTTTCCACTCATGACCTTCGTACAAACGCCCAACTAAATGTTTGGCTAGTTTGTTTAAACATTAATGTGACATGAGTATCACTAGAATATTTCATTCTATATTATGTGAAAAGCTAGTCCATAATATATTGGATATTGATGACTTCAAAATTGATGGATCTCCCCTTGAGGGGGAGAAAATACGCACTGCACTCTTTTTCCCTTAACCATGGTTTTTCCCACTGGGTTTTCCTGGTAAGGTTTTTAACGAGGCAGTATACAAAAGCGTATTACAAGAATTGTGTACTCTTTTTCTTTCACTAGGTTTTATCTCACTGGGTTTTCCTAGCAAAGTTTTAACGAGGCATATTCTTGATCAATGAACATCCAAGGGGGAGTGTTGAGAATTATTGAAGGGCGGCTGGCTGTTCATTAAGCAGCCGTCCCCAAAAACGTGTATACAGGACTGCATAGTATCTGCATAGTAACTTTTCCATTTCTATAAATAGCTGAGATTTCTGATTTCAGAAACCATTCAGAGAAACATTAGTAGGAAGAGAGAATATTTCTCTATGTGTATACTCTGTTGAAAGATAAGAAAGAGAGAGTGTTTTATATATGTTTTATATCTACTTCGTCTATTATATCTCATATTGTCTTATTTCATAGTCTATACGTCTATCTACCAAAATTCACAACAATAAATAAATAAGCATGCAAGCCAATTAATAGGGAAAACCGGACTCGGTGCTCTTCACACAACGAAAAGGAAAAGGAAAAGGAAAAGAAGGAAAGACAAATCAATATATGATCCGACAATCATAAATTCATAATCCGCCGGAATAATATATCACTAGGGATGGCAATGGGGCGGGTTTGGGGCGGGTTTGCCTAAACCATCCCCATCCCCATCTTCAAACACCCAAACCCATACCCGCCCCATACCCATGCGGGGGAATGTTTTGGAAACCCATCCCCATACCCGTGGGTTTCGGGTACCCATGGGTAATACCCATCCCCGTACATCCAACATTATTATACCTAAAACTTACAAGAAAAGTTTTAATTATAACCATAAATAAACCTATATATCATGAAGTCAACAAAACACGGTCATTTTCTAAATACGATTCAAAGAATATGATCCTAAAACATCCATTAATACATAATATAGACTATAATATTTTTAAATTATCATGCTCTAACTCTTGATACATTTACTAAGTAATAATTAACTAACATAATCTTGTTGACAAGGGGGAAAGTGAAAGAGTGGAAGGAGAATTGAGGGAAATGAATTAGGTTTTGTTTAAGGTGATTACTCAATTGCATTTCTACTATTTATTTTCTCGAGTTATCATCATCATCATTGATAGATTACAATTTAATCCACATATTTTTTGATATGTGAAGAAATTCTCTTGGTGGGGCGGGTATGGGTATGGGGCGGGGGAGGCTAAAACCATACCCGCCCCATACCCATCAAACTTTTTGCGGGTTTTACCCATACCCGCCCCATACCCGGTCAAAGCGGGGATTCCCCGCGTTGACTGGGTCGGGGGCGGTCGGGTACCCGCGGCCATGGGTTTGATTGCCATCCCTATATATCACCCTTACCGTAAAAAAGTATTTCCTTCGAAGCCCAAAACCGCATGCTTTGGGGAAAGCTGAAGAAACCTAATTCCTGACAATTGAAGAAAGTTTGAAGGAGATCGTCGTCAAAAATCCTTGTAAGTCGTTGCCTTGCTCTTTGATAAGTTGGTTTAAGTTGTCTCCACCGTTTCTTGCTTCGGAGCAAATCCTTGATAGAAACCCTTTGCTGTTTCAGCCTTGAGGCAATTAAGCAAAGCTTAGAAAACCTAGTTCCGCCAATTGGACAAAATTCGAAGGAAATCATCTGCAGAAATCTTCATTAGCAGCTGTTCGTTGGATCTCGATTATTTTCTTCGTGTCGCTGTTATTGGCGGCAGATCGGAACTGGCTTCATAGAGGCTGCGAAACCTTCTGCATGTCTGTTTGTCCCCTGATAGACTCTCAATTTGTTGGTTTCTCTTTCCTGAATTTGCAGAGCATGACAAAGAAAAGAAACAAGGGTAATTCAATTCAATTCAATTCTCCCCTTTTATCTGCGTCATGATTTTAGCATCTAGGGTTCTCTTCTCCCCATCTTTGCTGCTTGATTGATTATTTGATCTTCCAGATTTGCTTAATGCTGCAGTTGTGCGGCGGAAGGAGCTGCTACGACTGACCACTGGGATAAGTAGTTCCTCATCGACTAAACCCATATCTGCCATCTCAGAGCCCTCTTCCACGGTACTTTGCAATGTCACTGCCGCAGTTGAGCCGAAGAAGGAGCTGCCGCCCCAGAACACAACCTCTGAGCCCTCCTTCACATCCCCTAACTCTGTCTCTTCACATGATAGGGCGGCATCAGAGAAGGCCTTTTTGGACTCCATTGTACTTCCTGATCCATTTCGACCGGAAGTAAGCAGCAGGCAGATTATACCATAATCTTTCTTTACTTAATTGGTTTTCAATACTAATCTCCTTTCGTGTTTATGCCAGCAACTAGCTAAAATGTGTTTTCTTCTTAAAACAGCCAACTAACGAAAAGCATGCATTTTGTGCTTTCCCATCAACTTGCTAGGGTTCTAGGAATCCCGCTGAAGAATATATAAGAGAAGGGTTGATTTTAAAATGTAGAGTGTACGTGTGACCTCATTTAGGATGTTGAGATATCCTTCTCTCTGACTAGCTAGTAGCGTTGGTACAACAGGTTCATTGGTTTTTTGACCCCGTTGTATTGAAGTAATTGAATTTCTTTTGTTGGTTCCTCCTTTTGGTTTTGCAGCCCACCGAAAATGATGTAGTCAACAACTCCCCATGGCTGGCAGCAATGTGTCCGAACCTGTTTGCTAAGTATAACAAGGGTAATTCATTTCTCCCTTTTTGTGTTGGTGTATTTGGGTATTTGCTGCTACTTGGTTTTCATGTCCTGAATCCTTAAACTGCAGGGTCTGAGAAGACACTGACTCAAGCGTTTCTTGATATGTTGAAGGCTGAAATTGCACGACACCCTCCTCTTCCTCCCGATTATGATTCTGATGCTGAATGGGATAGTTATGGAGGAGGATGCCGTGACGAAAGTCATTTGGCAAATGAAGAGTTTGATTGGGACTCGTTTCGGTCAACCATTGTTCATCCCCCACCCAAGAAATGAGAAGAGGTAAATTAGGGGGCACATTCTGTCCCAGAAAGAGTTGTATGATTTGCTCTATGGCCATGCTACGTGCTCCGCCACATGGATTTAAAAGAAACAATAGGGTCATGAGTGATAGATAGGATATTGAGATTGCATGCTACATTTTGTATTTTTTATTGGCGGAGAGCATTTCCAGCCCTTCTGTTTCTCACATACGTACATAGGTTCTCCAGAAGTGTCTTAAATCATGCTTTCAGCAAACCTATAGGGAAACGAGTGTGTCTTATCATCAGTGGGGGGTTTTGAAACTTAGATTGTTTCAAGTTCTCTTCCCGCAGCTGTATTTTATCAATGTTTCTTATTTTATTTGCAAGGTAGATCTATTCTTCATAGTATGCGCACACACACGGTTGGTCATGCTATTTTCTTACATGGCTCTCCTCCATTTGCTCTTTGTGCTTTGCTTGCCGGAATAATTTCTCATTGATAACTTCTTCATCAACATCAGCTTCTTATTATAAGTTTAGAACTTCTAGCTATTTCATGTGTGTATGCTGCGCATTATGCTAAGGTTTCTTGTCCCGCCTCCTTTTTAGTAAGATTTGCATCATCAGGAGTACAAAGATAAACATTTCAGGTGTTTGTATGGTTGCTGTACTCCTCTGGACATTCTCACAAGGTTTCTCGTTTGGTTTTTGGCCGGAGTTGATCTCAAATAGTTTTATGCTTTTCATTTTGCAGGTGCAGTGGATGGGCAGTCCTGAGTTGTTGTCAATTAAGGCGTCATTAAGGTCGTTATGAGTTTGAAGCCTGTAGTGTATAGTGTCATTGTTGCAGAGAAACGATTATATTTTCATACTTCTAACTTAAATAGTTTGATACAATCAATACTCACGACTACATTGCGGGGAGTGTTTTAGTTGTATCTAGCAGTTTTAGAAGTAGTATATATATACGTGCTTTTCTGTTTTTGGGTATATAATATTTATATACACTAATCACGTGAGAAATTCATATGCTTCAAATAAACCATTAGTTGGGACACATTGAATTTTGTCGAAAGAGTAATCTAGTAAGGATTAATTGCAAGTTTGGTCACTCGAATTGTTACAAAATTTTATGTTTGCCACTCAAATTAATTTATTTCATTTATAGTCACTCGAATTAGTTGAATAGTCTAAGTTCGGTCACTCTCTGTTGACCTCCGTTAGACTCCGTTAATGACAACCGTTAAGTGATGACGTGGCTAACGGAAAATCACAGTCAGCATATTTTAACACTAAAAAACAACGACCCGACCTGCCACGTCACATTTACCCGCCATGTAAGCTCTTCTTGCCCAACCCGCGACCCAACCCAATTAATTGACCCAACTCCAAACCCGAAACCCGACCCCTTGAAAATTAAATCGAAACAGGAAGGGTAGGGCACTTTCCCTTCCTCCATCGTCCTCTCATCCTCCCCCGCCTCTCGTCCTCCTTCTTCTGCAATTTTCGAACAGTTGGGTGAGGAGGCCATGAAAGGAGAAAGTTCAAAACTTTCTAGCTAGATAGATGTTTCTCCTCACCCATTTCTTGATAAACCCAATACATTCGTTGGATTGTTGTTCTCGTTATCCCTTTCGGCTTCGCAAGCTTCTACATGCTCCAACCCAATAGTACTCTGTTTCTCCTTTCATGGCCTCTGCCGTTCTTTCTTCCACCCATCAAATCTTTATACGAAAGTTCAAAACCTTTTCTCTAACTTAGAAGCAACATCTATCTAGCTACAGGGGAATGGTGAAACAAACAAAAAAGGAACCAACTTTACTTAAACAGAACATTCAATCTATCCTAGGTTAAATTTTTGCAGCCGGAATATAGACTGGCCGGAGTGAAGACGGGATAATCTTGCGCGGAGAATTGCGGGAGAGGGCGGGAAGAAGCAGGGGAAGGAGGAGGAATGTATCTGAGATTTGCAGCAGAAGAAGGGCTGCTAGTAGTAGTAGTTCCTTGAATCAAAGCGGCATGAAGGGCTGCTAGTAGTAGTTCCTTTCATGGCCTCCCCTGTAGCTAGCTAGATGTTGCTTCTAGCTACTAGCTAGATAGATGTTTCTCCTCACCCAACTGTTAGAAAATCGCCGAAGAAGGAGGATGAGAGGCGGGGGAGGATGAGAGGACGATGGAGGAAGGGAAAGTGCCCTACCCTTTCCTGTTTCGATTTAATTTTCAGGGGGTCGGGTCTCGGGTTTGGGGTTGGGTCAATTAATTAGGTTGGGTCGCAAGTTGGGCAAGAAGAGCTGACATGGCGGGTAAATGTGACGTGGCGGGTCGGGTCGTCATTTTTTAGTGTTAAAATATGCTGACTGTGATTTTCTGTTAGTCACGTCATCACTTAACGGTCGTCATTAACGGAGCCTAACGGAGGTTAACGGAGAGTGACCGAACTTGAATTGTTCAACTAATTCGAGTGACTATAAATGGAATAAATTATAATTTGAATGGCAAACGTAAAATTTTGTAGCAATTCGAGTGACCAAACTTGCAATTAAGCCAATCTAGTAATATCCACAACATTTAGCTTTATGTATATAGGTGATATTGATCAAGATGAGGAGCAGAATGGGTACGTCTCGAACCGAACGCAGCAATGATCACTGGTGAATTGAGCTCCAGCTGGGAGACCGCAGGACTGTCTTATGATCCGATGTGCGTAATACAAACAGCCGCCGCATTCAGCTTGGTCACACCACGTGTATTGGTAGACCTTCACTTCTTTATCGCCATCAGGGTACGTAATAGGATGATCCATACACGTTATGCCGCCAGGAAGGCCACCGTAATAGATGGATGTCCACGATATGCCCTCCAGGGTCGACAGTTGGCTGAAGTTGTGAGGGTTACACATCGGTGCGGCGTTCGCCGGAGGGCAGACTTGATCGGCTGTTGATGGTGATGAGTCAACCATGTTTGGTCTGAGAAGAAGAAGAAGAAACATTAATGACGATGATAAGAAGAAGATCAGGTCGGAAATTTGTCGCAACATAATCAATGGATGTTGTATTTTATAGAATGGGTTGGATTTTGTGTTGAGTTCATCATCAGCTGCCAAAATATATAAGAGGGACTGGGCCGGCCGGAGAGAGAAAGAGATCATTCCTTTGCCGATTGCACCCTACTTGCCGGTTCTGGCAGCAACTAGTTCATCGTCACTGACGTTTTATGCACGTATTTCTTTTTATTATCATTTCCTTCCTTTTGTTGTGTGGTTTGGGTGAAATAATCTTATTAATTAAATAAAAACAAACAAATAACAAGAGAAACTTCGCCCTTAATACAGAGTCCTACATTCTAATCAACTCAAACCATGGATGCTTTGATGTAACAACACTGTTGTATTTAATAATGACATTCATATTTCCCCTCGATTTCCAGGAAATAGGACAAACCAGAGGGAAACATAAGAGCATGTTTCAATATCAGAGATGGCTTCTACAAACCACCCTTTCTCTTCCTCCTGGTGCACCATGATTCCTTTTATCTTAGGCAAAGCTTGTGGATTCGCTTGACATTGAGGTGGCAATTGAATTGGTGAATTGGATTAATGAACTCAAGGATCATATGGTTTGGTGGATTTATAGATTGGATAAGATGGTTCGGTGAATTGGATCATGGATCCAAATGACATCTAAACACTGGACCAATACGTAAATACTAAAATGCCATAATAGAAAATTTAGGTACCGAAATGTCATTTTTGTTACAAAACATTTTTGTAGCATCAAATGGTAAACATAAAAACTATAGGTACTAAACTTTAATTTACCAACAATCCATGAATTGAATCCAATTGGATTGAGATCAAATGGATTTGATTAGTTGGATATTTAAGTGGATGGAGTGGATAATATATTGTCACTCCTAACTGCAATTCTTATGGGAGGTGACCAACCAGCTTGATATAAACCTACCAATCATTTAGTAGATAACTTTAAAGGTTAGACTCCCTGTTTTCAAATATTCTCAAATTTATTTCCTTTCATAAACTCCAACATAATGCATGTAGTAGAACCTTGTACACCATTCTGCAGGGGGTTCCTGCGGCTAGTCTTGTATTGTTGTGTTAATATATGTCGATCTAGGCATCATTACTCTTACAAAGTTTGCAATTATTCTCCAAATATCTCTTGTAAAATTGCAGTTTATGAACAAGTCGTTTGCATCCTCTTCCAAACTCTTACACAACACACATCTATTAGGCAACATCTACCCTCTTTTCTTCAATACATCATGTGCAAGAAGCTTCTTATAGGTTATCCAGATGAATACACATATCTTGAGCGACACCACTTGCTATCAGCTTCAGGATTTTGTATAAAAAATAGCTTGTTGTACATTGACTGCACCGAGAAACCTGCACTTTGGGAAGGTTCCCAAACCAGCCTGCTAGGACATGCAGAAAGTAAAGTAGGGGTGATACCTTCTAGTAATCTTAATAATTTGAGCTAATACCACTACAACACCTAAACTATCAAAAAAATGTCACTTGTGTCCTATTTTATTCAATATTCAATTGAAGTCCTGAACTAATTTTCGTTAGTGTAAATCAACGTTGACCTTTAGTATTTAATAGAAAGTAGTCAGTGTTGATGTGGCACCTAACGTAAAATTTTAAATGAAAATTTTAAATGAAAATTCTTTAAAGTCGAACTTTGAAGTCTAGTCACTTACAAGTTACCACATGTATAAAGCTGAACAAAAATAATTAAATTAAGATAAAAATGAAAATAAAAAACTCTCTCGGCAACCTTCCAATCTTAAGCTCTGAATTCCCTCATCGTTGATTTTGCATCTCATCTTCCCCAAGACAGATTTGCCTACCTAGCGAATCATTGCCCCCACTCCCTGCTCCTCCCCCTCCTCCTCCACCTGTGTCAGGGTATCTACTTTGGAGGCTTGTATCTTCATCTTGGAAGATAATCAATGGGAGTTTGGAGTTGAAGGTAAAATTACAAGTCTTGAGAAAGATTGTGAAGGCGTCGGATGGGAAGATCGAAACTTCCTAGGTACCAAACGAGCAGCCAACATATATATGTTATTTTATTGATAATTTAAGATTAAATATAATTTATTAGTCAAACCTTTCTAGAAATACAATAATCCATGTGTTCAATTAATATGACAGTGAAATTATAATATAGAGTAAATCATTATACTAATTGGATGACTTGTTATTTTAACTATCTTCTTATTAAGTTGAAACCAAAATATAACATATTATCAAGTAAATCATCATACTAATTGGATGTGTTGTTATTTTAACTATCTCCTTATTAAGTTGAAACCAAAATATAACATAACTCTCATCCATCACCCCCCCCCCCCCCCCCCCCGGCGAGACCCTTCACAAAAATATTGGTGTTTGTAGGCGATGGCAAAAGCTCATTTAAAGAGAAAAACACTAATATGGTATAACATATTGATGACCTGTTCCAATATAAAAACTATAGCTATATAAAAATCAATTCTATTTTCAACCTCGTTTATTTGAAAAGCATGGTACGAACAAATTAGAGATTTAAGAAATGCTTGGTTAAGAAAAACAACAAAATATTTAAATTCTCATAATTTACTAAGAAATACTATTCATCTTCAATTTTATATTATCCCGGCTCATATTATACAACACTACTGCAAAGTCAATCCCAAACTTGTAACCGAAAAAGTTTAGTTAGACCAACTAAATAAGGATGAGGGCTAGTTGTTCATTAAGATGATTGGATGTAGATATTTGTCGATTGAATAGGATGATGGCACTAGTGACATAAGTCGCTCGTCGATACTTTTCACATGACACTTTCTATGTTGAAATAAAATATAAAAACGAATTATTGTGTTACAATCTTTCAATTCACCTCGTGTTTTGCTCAAATGATGTTATATCTTTCTTTTTTTGGTAAATAACCTTTCTTTCTATTGCTATAGGTCGCAACACCAAAACAAATACGCGTGCTTCCCTAATATACTTGAATGTGGAAGTTGTTTGGCCTTTGGTATGATAGATGCAATCCTTTTTTAGCATGAACTGCTATGTTGAAATCTTACTCCAGAGCTTCAAGTTAGTTGGACTAAGCATGTAGTAAATTACAATAGTATGAAATAAATTTCCACTTTATACTACACACAGATTGCTTGTGATGAGTGGTGTATCTGGAAGTATATAATGCAGCGGGGCGCCTCTAGGAACGGACAATTTATCATATTTCAGCAAACAACTACTCCATCCTAGAAGATTATTTGCAGTATCATTTCCAACTCCTCAATCTTCCATCCTAAAACATATTATTAAGAATGAGAACCAATTAAAGTGGAAATAATGTAAGTATATCATATTTTGTCAAAGCCTCGAAAAACACTTCATTTGTTAGAATGATTTCAAACCTATCTTGCATCTTCAACATAAGTAATTTTGGATATTTGAAAATAGATGTCATCCAAATTCGTAAACAAGCGACTCGTTATCTTTTCTTTAAAGTATTGTTGACACTTTAATAAAATATTGTGATAGGATGTGAAACCTTAATGCCATATTTAGGAATTTCATGTTCAGGTTTCACGAAATGGAATAAACTTGAAAGAACTACATAATGATAAAAAATAAAGTCATAAACATTTTGCTCTCGGTTCTTGAAGTATGGCATTCTTATCAAGAACCCCACGAATACTTCTAATCGAATGTATGTGACAAATCTCCTAATATCTAGTCATTTGTATGTTTCCCAAAAGAATTACTTGAAATTAAAAAGAAAAAAAGAATTCAATAATATACAAAGGTCATGTCCACCGTTATCTAATTTACTCATCTTTCACCTCTAGGTTTGGCTACATCTGGTTTCAGAGTTCGGCCCACAAACCTAGCAACCTTTTATATATGTTTAACTACAACCATGTAATCTCATAATATGCCAAAATATATAGTAGTTTTTCATATTGAATGAAACATTATATAAGACATCAAAAGGTGAAGTCTACATGGACTTCTTGATCTAGCTCTAAAATTATCGAGAATCTATTGATAAAAAATATTGTTTTTAAACTATAGAACCTTTTTTCACAGTCTTAGTTAACAATTGAACAATCCTTTCTAGGCAAGGCTGACTAGTGACAAGTTCCAAAAATCTAGGTTGAGAAATTATGCAACTTACTAATGAGTGTTTGGATAACAATCCATTTGCATTTAGATTGCAGTGCTTGAAACAAGATGTTTTCTACATTGTCTATAACTAGTGGTCCGATTGTCTATCTAAAAACACATTGTATGTACCATATTACTTTTTTCAACGAAAGCAAATATAAGAGACTAGTACAAAGATGCATAAGTGCATTGAGTACATAGGGAGAAGAGCGACAATGGGTTTGATCTTTGGAACTCATGCGCAAGATAACTATATAAGTATTCAAGTAAAATAATGGATAATAGTAAAAAAAATTCAACGAAATCAAATATAGGAGACTAGTACAAAGATGCATAAGTGCATATAGTACATAGGGAGAAGAGCGACCATGGGTTGATCTTTGAAACTCATGCGCTAGATAACTAGATAAGTGTCCAAGTAAGAATAATGGAGGATAGTCCATCAACTCTGGTAAGAAAATCGCTAACTGCATAAGTGCATGGAGTACATAGGGAGAAGAGCGACAATGGGTTGATTTTTGGAACTCATGCGCAAGATAAATAGATAAGTGTCCAAGTAAGAATAATGGAGGATAGTCCATCAACTCTGATAAGAAAATCGCTAAAGGGTATCTTATCAAACTTAAGCAGATAATCGATCTATATAGAAATTATTTCAACTCTTATAATTGAACTAAGAAATACCTTATGTCATTCATCTTTAATTTCATATTTCATATCATCTTGACTCATATTGTACAGCACTACCGCAAGATCAATCCCAAACTTACAACCAAAAAAGTTTAGTTAGATCAGTTGACTAAGCATGGGGGTTGGTTGGTCATGAAAATAATTGAATATGAATAGGATGAAGACACTAGTGAGAGAAGTAAAACGTCGATACTTTTCACATGATATTATCTCTATTGAAAAAATATTATAGATAAACTGTTGTGTTGAAGCCTTTAAGCTCATCTCGTGCTCCGCTTCTAATGGTACTATATATTTCTCTCTTTTCTTTGGTCAACAAGGACCTTTCTTTCTTTTGATATAGGTCGGAACACAAAAACAAAATACGCGTTGCTGCCCAATATAATTTTATGTGTAACTTGCCCTAGCCTCCGGTATGGAAGATGCAATCCTCCTTAGCCATGAACTGTTGTGTTGAAATCTTTCTCAACAGGTTCAAGTTAGTCAGACAAAGCACGCAGTAAACTACAATCATATGAAATAATTTTCCCGCCTTGCACTACACACAAATTGTATATGATGAATAGTGTACCTGCTATTATATAATATAGAGAGGCACCTCTGAGAACATATGATCCACTTTATTTAAGCAAACAACTACTCCTAGAAGATTAATTATTTGCAGCATAGTTTTCCCACTCCTCGATCTTCCGTCCCGAAACATATCAATGAGAATGAGAACCAACTAAAAGTGGAAATAATGTACCGCTTCCATGGCCCCAATACCAAAGTATATCATGACTTGCCAAAACCTCAAAAAACACTTCCTCTGTTTGAACGATTCCAAAGCTGCTCTGCAGTTTCAAAGTAAGTAATTTTGGATACTTAAATGTAGATATCACCCAAATTCGTAAACAAGAGACTCAATATCTTTACTTTAATTATTGTTGACACTTTAGTAAAATATAATGTTAGGATGTGAAACCTTACGGTTATATTCGGAAATGTCATGTTCTGGATTCACTAAATGGAAAGAACTTGAAAGGTCTACATGAGGGGACAAAACAGAGTTAGAAAAGCTTGCTCCCGGTTCTTAACGTCTTAAATTCTTATCAAGAACCTAACATATACTATTAATCCAAGGCATGTGATAAATCTCCTAATATCTAAACATTTGTTGTTTTCCCAAGAAATTCCTTGAAATTAAAAAAGAAAAAATATTTCAAAGATATACCAAGGCCATGTCTATCATCATCTCATTTAGTCATTTTCCACCTCCAGATTTGGCTGCATCTGGTTTAAAACTTGGACATACAAATCTAGCAACCTTTTATATACCCTTAACTACAAGCATGTAACCCCATTATACTCTGACATATATAGTAGTTTTTCATATAGAATGGAACATTAGATAAGACTTCAAAATTATCGATTCTCTATTGATAAATCTTTTGTTTTGAACTCGCGAACCTTTATCGCAATTTCAGTTAACAACTGAACAATCCTTTCTCGACAAGATTGACTACAGGCAAGCTCAGCAAGTCTAGGATGACTGATTATAAAACTCACTTAGGAGTGTTTGGTTAACGGTCCTTTTTCATTTAGATTGCAGTGCTTGAAAGAATATGTTTTTTACTTTGTCTATGACTGGTGAGCCCGATTATTCATATAAAACCACACTTTATGTACCAAATCACTTTTTTGACAACATCCTACATCACGAAATGGATAAGATCAAATCAGCCTCAAAAACACAAAAAATCAATAAAATCAAATATTAGAGACTAGTACGAAGATGCGGAAGTGCATATATACAGTTACTATGAGTCTTCAGATTGTGGAGGGTGGTCTGGCGCACGGCGGCCGCCCGGCTCAGCTGCTCCTCCAGCTTCGCTATCCCAATCGTGGCGGCGGTGTTCTTGTTCAGCTTCGAGACGTCGCTCTCGATGGGAAGACCGGGGCTCCTGTTGACGTCCCCCCACGTCTCTTGATTCCAATCTGCCATTTCTGAAGCTTAAGTGCGAGATGGACTCTGTGGGAAGTGAACAGAGAGCCGCTTTGTCTTCTGTTGGATGAGTTGGAGGTGGTAGAAGTTGGAGAAGTGTGGGGTGTGTATATATATGGGAGCAGAGCAATGTTTCTCATTTGTAATCGTGTGTGTATATCAATAGTCTATAACAATGTAAAAGTCATGCCATACATGGGATGAGAGAGAGAGGTTGGAGCTGACTTGATGCAATCAGTGAGCTATTCTTTCTTAGTTTCAAAGTGAAGGAAGATATGACTGATTTCAGGGAAATCGGTATGCTATTCTAGTGTAAAATAAAATCAGTAGCTCTGCCCTCACAAAGAGAATCAATGAGCTATTTTTGTGTAAGACTGAGGAAAGACATGGCTGGTTCAGAGAATCAGCAGGTTAGTTTAGTGCAATAGTCAGACAGAGATATGAGTTCGATCTGATTACAGCAGCAAGCAGCAGCAGGAACATACGGTACGACATTCATGAGCCTTAGCTCTGCCCTGTCGTTGAAGATGCACTAATGTCCCTTGGAGTCGCTCCTTGTTCCCGCTCAAGCAAATATCTCAAATCACATCAGAATAAATCACCAAAGCTAATTCGTGAACCTACTAAATCCAATTATATGAGGAGGGCAATGAGGGGTGGTACATGAATCATGACTCACTCACTAATTATTGTCTTTTACACTTAATGGTGCATTTAAAGATATAATATCAAGTAAACCATCATACTAATTGGATGAATTGTTATTTTAACTCTGAACCATGAAGTAGGAAAACAAAAAAAGAAAACAAAAAAGCTCATTTCCCTTAGTCACTCCCCCCCCCCCCCGGTTAAAAAAATGCAGGAGCCTACTTTAACCATCATATTGAGCAAAATTCTATGAAAAATCTATAGCATAGCAAACACTTGCTTGACCATGTCATGACAGAGTTTATCTTTCACGACCTTGTTTGAGAAGAATCGGAAATTCATATAATTGATATTGAAAATCTTATGAAAGAAACCATCACAATGACCTTTCAATAACTAATGGTGTTTGTAGGCAAGGACAAAAGCTCATTTGAAAAGGAAAATACATATATGGTATATAGCATCTTGAAGACAAGTTCCAATATCGACACTATAGCTCTATCAAAATAACGTTTATCTCATTTATAATCTACTCTTTTCAACCATTATCACTCTCACTTATTTGAAAACCAACAAAGTATGGTACATCAAAATAGAAATTAAGAAATGTTTGGTCACGAAAAACAGTAAAATATTTAAACTATTATAATTGAACTAAGAAATACCTTATGTAATTCATCTTTAATTTCATATTTCATATTATCTTGACTCATATTGTACAGTACTACCGCAAGATCAATCCCAAACTTACAACCAAAAAGTTTAGTTAGATCATTTGACCAAGGATGGGGGTTGGTTGGTCATGAAAATAATTGGATGTGAATAGGATGAAGGCACTAGTGAGAGAAGTAAAACGTGGATACTTTTCACATTAAATTATCTCTATTGAAAAAAATATTATGGATGAACTGTTGTGTTGAAGCCTTTCAGCTCATCTCGTGCTCCGCCTCTAATGGTGCTATATATTTCTCTTTTTTCTTTGGTCAACAAGGACCTTTCTTTCTTTTGATATAGGTCGGAACACCGAAACAAAATACGCGTTGCTGTCCCAATATACTTTTATGTGTAACTTGCCCTGGCCTCCGGTATGAAAGATGCAATCCTCCTTGGCCATGAATTGTTGTGTTGAAATCTTTCTCAACAGGTTCAAGTTAGTCAGACAAAGCACACAGTAAACTACAATCATATGAAATAATTTTCCCGCTTGCACTACACACAAATTGTATATGATGAAGAGTGTACCTGCTATTATATAATATAGAGAGGCACCTCTGAGAACATATTATCCAGTTTATTTAACCAAACAACTACTCCTAAAAGATTATTTGTAGAATAGTTTTCCCACTCATCGATCTTCCATCCCGAAACATATCAATGAGAATGAGAATCAACTAAAAGTGGAAATAATGTACCACTTCCATGGCCCCCATACCAAAGTATATCATGACTTATAAAAGTAAGTAATTTTGGATATTTAAATGTAGATATCACCCAAATAGACTCAATGTCTTTACTTTAAATTATTGTTAACACTTTAGTAAAATATTATGTTAGGATGTGAAACCTTACGATTATATTTGGAAATGTCACGTTATGGATTCACGAAATGGAAAGAACTTAAAAGGTCTACATGAGGGGACAAAATGGAGTTAGAAAAGCTTGATCCCGGTTCTTAACGTGTTACATTCTTATCAAGAACCCAACATATACTACTAATCGAAGGCATGTAATAAATCTCCTTATATCTAATCATCTGTTGTTTTCCCAAGAAATTCCTTGAAATTAAAAAAAAAATTCAAAGATATACCAAGACCATGTCTATCATCATCTCATTTACTCATTTTCCACCTCCAGATTTGGCTGCTTCTAGTTTAAGACTTGGACATACAAATCTAGCAACCTTTTATATACCCTTAACTACAAGCATGTAACCCCATAATACACTGACATATATAGTAGTTTTTCATATAGAACGGAACATTAGATAAGACTTCAAAATTATCGACTCTCTATTGATAAATCTTTTGTCTTTGAACTCGCAAACCTTTTTCGCAATCTCAGTTAACAACTAAACAATCCTTTCTCGACAAGATTGACTATAGACAAGCTCAGCAACTCTAGGTTGACTGATTATAAAACTCACTTAGGAGTTTTTGGTTAACGGTCCATATGCATTTAGATTGCAGTGTTTGAAAGAAGATGTTTTCTACTTTGTCTATGACTGGTGAGCCCGATTTTTCATATAAAAGCACACTTTATGTACCAAAGCACTTTTTTGACAACATCATACATCGCGAAATGGATAAGATCAAATCAGCCTCAAACACACACAAAAAATCAACAAAATCAAATATTAGAGACTAGTACGAAGATGAGGAAGTGCATAGATACAGTTACTATGAGTCTTCAAAAACCACCGGTGGAAGATCAAAACAAAGTGTAAAGTACAAACGTAATTTATTTCGCAATAATTCTCCACAATATTCTCCACTTCAGTTAATTTTTCCCGCATTAAACTTCTAAAATCTAGAGCCACTACATTAATAATCCAAGATCACTCATGGTTTTCTCTCATTGTTAATTTCAAAAATAAATAATAAACTTGAACATGCAATAACAATATATGTGTTCATTGGTAGAGTTCATAGAGTGGATACAAAACATTCCATGAAATTTTTTAATCAAGACAATAAAATCATCAACTTACTCTATATATATATATATATAAGTATCTAAGTAAGAATTGATGGAGGATAGTTCATCAAGTCTTATAAGAAAGTCGCTAAAGGGTATCTTATCAAACTTAAGCAAATAATCTATCAATGGGGAAGTTATCTTATCAATGACCACATAAAACTTAAACGAACTTTAGTAACAAGGGTGAAAGAGCAAACCTCGATAACTTGCATTCCTGGTTCATTTCACTTGTCAAAAACCCTAATATTAAAATCTTATGTAGTTTTAAGACGATGAGCCAGCAAAAGACTAATCTAAGTTATAAAAAATAAAAAACTATGAATCTACAATTTTTGTATTTAAAATTTTGTGGTTATACAAAACAAATCGAAAACAAAATACATGCAATGAAAAAAAACTTATGCATTGAACACTATATTTGTGAATCAAGAAACTCAATTATTCTTCTTTTATTCTATAATATAATTATATTGACCATTGAAAGTGTGAAAATATATAACTTTTTTTAAAAACGTAATTTGTTTCCTAGGAAGGGAGAAAAAATGAGAACTGGAATACTTTTTTGGGAGGAGGAGTTGGAGAAAATATTTGGCATTTCTCTCTTAATAAGTTGAAACCAGAATGGAAAAAAAGAAAGAAACTCAAGTAGACTCATTTCCCTTTCTCGACCCCCCCTCCCCCGGACCCCCTCCGAAAAAATGTGGAGTGACCTACTTGTATAATATGAACTTATACAAGTATGCATAATATCGAAAGCATTGAAACTTTTGCATTGTCAAAACAAACCAAACTGTTCACCAAAGCCAAATACTCTCTATGAAATATCAATGAAAATCATTAATAATAGGGAAAGACAAAGCAATACAAAGTCTATTAGACATACATTAATAATAGGGAAAGACAAAGCAATACAAAGTCTATTAGACATAAAAGTAACAGTGAGCTCAACTCATCATGAAAGGAGTCATCATTACCAACCCATCGTTAGCAACACATTCAATCAAGTCCGAACGACATACAAGATAAACAAGATATAGTTTTCTATGTATGTTTTTCTCATACAACCTATCAACTGTCTATTCTCGTATATAAATTGAGCTTCTGTACATCAATAAAACTCAATACATTTTAGCGAAGTTGTTAAAATGCCAGTAAGATATGAAACACTACCGTTGGATCAAACTCCAACCCAAAAATGGCGTCCCTTCAAAAAAAATAAACATCTCTCAGTATGTGGAAGGAAAAGAAAAACAGGGAATTGGTAAAGAAGATAAACCCCACTTGAGTATCATGATTGGAAGTGAACGTTGGATCAAACTCCAACCCAAAAATGGCGTCCCTGCAAAAAAATAAACGTCTCTCGGTATGTGGAAGGGAAAGAAAAACAGGGAATTTGTAAAGAAGATAAACCCCACTTGAGTATCAGGATTGGAAGTGAATTATTTCTGTGGGCATTGACAATCTAAGGGAAGAAAATAGTTTTTCATCAACCACAAACCAAATAAACACAAGGAAGAGAAAATGGAGTGGGTAGAGAGAAAATCATTGACGGAGTTCGACATGGAGTGAGGGCGTTGTTATGAGAAAGAGATGCGCTTAATTGTACAAACAAATCATCTTTGAGTACAAATCATGCTTGTACAATGGGTCAAACTTGCTCTTTAATTAATAGCCCTAACCACTTCTCTTTCCGGGGATGTCAAGTCTTTCGTGCCCTCCAATTCATTTTTTGGTAG